TAATATGTGTCATCTATTTATTTGAGGATTTCGGTGAGGGACATCAGCCTCACTGTTGGCTTGTTAATCCCGAAATGACATAGTTGTTCTAATATGAATATATTGTTAACGCGCTTTAAACATCTACATGTAATAGACTTGGTCTAGAGAATTTTAGCTACATTGAAATGTTGGCAATAAAAATCCAATTATAGTTTTTAGTTACACACTGTTAACCACCCATAGATGTTTTAATGGCAATAAATCATATACTTTATTCAGCTCGACGCAAGACTTAAAATGAATAGATGCAGTTCGTTTAACTTGAATGTAGATATTATATATCTAAGTTGGATATGTGTGGAACATGCTCGAGACGATTTGTAACAAACCCCAGGCACGATATATATTTGATACTAGTTGAGCATCAGAACAACATGATTATTTCATTGGGCGCAAATACCCGAAGGAGTCGGACCCCTTCAATGTCTGTCTACCTGTGGAATAACATGTACATTATTTGTATCTGTTAAATTTGTGCGGTTTATATATTAGATTAATATTATTGCGTTTACACATGGGCGGAAAGTGATAACGTCTTACCCCAAACAAATTGCAAGTTTCGGAGAGCTATATCTCGTATCACATGTCACTTATGAAACATATGCCCGAAACACATGTCACGCTAGACACCTTTTATTTAAATTACACTGCACAAAAAATCTGATTTTTAAAAGCGTATGCAAGTTAAATATATTTAATAGCGCTTTTATCTGGTGTATCTTTCATTTCATTTTCTTATGAATTAGACTATATTATTATAACAATAATGTGCGCTTTTTGTTGTATAATAATATTAATGTATATAGCCGTTGTAGTTTGGGTGGTATGTAATACTATTTGATAATTTATGCGAAATTGTATTAAACGAATAATATAAGTGCACGAGAGGACATGAGTTATAATTTGATAAATAATTGTGTCATATTTCTATTCTCCATTGTCAGTATATTAGTTATGGTATGAATTTATTTAAAACGTAAATTAAATTGTTTATGAAATATTGTGAGAATAACAGGGAAGGGAGTCTATGTTCAAGGATAGAATATGTCTAAAAGCACGTGATTGGAAAGTTACCATTTCATATTTGGCATGAGTGGCCAATCACATGATTAATTACATCATAATTAGCCAATAGAATAATTAATGGGTGTGAATCTGAGCGTATATAATTTATAGAATATGTGCACTAGGGAGGGGAAGATGTAGGAATTTCCATCAGCAGACTTGCTGAGTCTGCATGAGAGCGGGTTAGAGAGAATGATTTTATTATAATACTTGTAACTATGTAACCCATATGTAGCAGTGCTTAATATAAAATGTAGAAACGAAATGTGGTATTGTTGTTACCATAAACTGAATGGCAGAATAAATACACAATATTTAAAGTGGAGTCCCACAAGAAGAAAATAAGAAACACATGCGGACAGAGACAATACTAGACGATCACAGACTGTTCCAGAATATGTAGTGAGAAACGATGCATGGGTTATACGCCGGATGTGGCGACTGGTTTGTATGGTTGTCCGCTCTCCACGTCTGACAGACGACCCATGGTGCTTCAGTTATTAAGATATCAAAATATATTTAACCAACAAAGTGTTTCGGTGTCAATTGATCAGTGAAAATAGTTTTATACACAGCGTGAAAGTCCTGATTAGATAAGTGTCATCCTAGTATCAGGGAGTTCCTGATTAGATAGTCACATCTGTCCCCGTATTGTCACACGTCTTCTGTTATATACTTTCCTGGTTTGCTGGTTTAGTCTCCTATTTTGTTTAGTTTTTACCATAACTTTAAACCTGGAATTAAAATATAATTCACTGAACCCTTCAACTTTAATTTTCAGTAGATTACACAATCTTTTCCCTCCACATGGACAGCGAGGGAGTGTTTTTGTCTGCTTCAATACATTAGACACTTTGTTATAGTAAAACTGTCCAGTACTAACATTTCCCGTGACTAAGTTCGATAATGAGCATTTTCTGCTCCGGGTAAGCAGAGTGATATGCAACTTGATTGATCGCGGCTATTGAGTTCGATAACTGTGACAGTGGTGAAACTTCGTGTATAATTTCATTATTGATTACATCAATACCTTGACAAAGTTCGATGATAGGCGTTGTTTGCTTAGTCTAAGCAGAGATAAGCAGAGATTATATTTATCGGTGTTTTGGAACAAGATAACTTATAGAGTATGATCAGACTGTAGAGTTTCACTTACCTTGACGAAGTTCGATCGTGAAAGTTTTTTGCTTAGAATAAGTATAGCTAATCAGTTTAGTTTGATGGCTCGATACTTTTCAAAAAGTATTAGATTAGACATTAATTAATTTATCCAGACCACACTCGGTGCCATCGTTAGCCTGTGATATTTAATGCATTTGAATACATTTTGTGCTGCATAATTTGAAGTAAAATTGGATAATCGAACTTTGTTTATTATCGTACCAACGTTAGTAATGGCGATGGGGGCTGGTCTAAAATTGAATCGCTGATATCGCTGTTAAGAGTAAAGCAATTTGACTGAAATTTTCCAGCATTTTTTGTTTTCATGAACCATTTTGTAACAGTGATCAAACTTCGTCATTACATCAATACCTTGACTAAGGTCGATGATGAGCATTTTCTGCTTAGTCTAATTGCGGTAGAATGTTGAAACTTGTTCATTAGTTATATGTCCTGACATGAGTTCAATGATTAACATTTTCCGGTAAAGTTAAGCAGAGCTAAGCAATTTCATTTTGTCTATGCTTTGGGACAAGATGACTTTGATTCTAACGATCGAGGCTCAGAGTGAAGCAATTTGAAATTTTCAGCATATTCTGTTTTCATAATCTATTTTTGTAACTATTATAGCGAGAACTGTCAGTTCTTTATCTAATTTTACCCAATGACCCTTTAATTAATATTTTATTTTGGGATGGCGTAGGGGGGCATCAACCTCATTGTTGGCTTATCAAAATAGGAGAAGAGTGGGCGATCTGAGTCGTTTCTATTTGAGATACCTTTCTATAGTTTTTACTTTATTGGTTTATTTAAAATACAACTACTGTTATATATCACTCTTAACTTCACTCTATGAAACCTGATCATACCGGACACTGTATAAACTGTCGAAATATGTTCGTCACTGATGGGCAGAAATACTATCTGTTGGCTATTCTTTAAACATCTGACTAACTGCACAGTATCTGTGTCATTACTTAATTAAAACTGTAGCATACCTTCCCTTGATTCATATTGTATACCGTTGCAAGGGCAGCTATCTAGTCCTTCTGGTGGGACGAAAAAACGAGGTCAAATGTATACATTGCCGTGCACGTAAAAGATTCCTTGGCAGTTGGAATTCGATATAAGAGTAGGCCATTGTATGGCTGTCCAGGCAAAATTTCCCCCATAGCACACTGTATCGCAGAACAGCAGGACGTTAAACCTCATTTCGTTTCATATTGCATACATTTCTTGTATTTTGTGTCCCGTCGTTCGTCGGCCTGTCAATTACGTATAATGTGGGTAAAACAGGACGTTAAACCTCATTTCATTTCATATTGTATACGTTTTAAAATAAATTTCTTTATATTGCATACATTTCTTGTATTTGGTGTCCCGTCGTTCGTCTGTCTGTCAGTCACATATAATGTGGGTAAAACACCACTGACAGCTCTAAGATGAGAGCTTAAAACATCGGACTGGCTTAAAACGTCATCGCATTGGCTTAAAACGTCATTGCAGTGGGTTTAAGAGGAGCTAGCTGGTACTGTTATCGTCCAGTCCCAAATATTACCTCGGTTAACATGGACATATTCCACTGACACAAAAGCCTGGGTAAAATGCAGAGAACAAGAATCAATAATTTTGAAACTAATCATATTGTTAAATCTCAAGGTTGGTATGTACTATACCCTGATTTAATTAATAACACAAAAAATCTGGCGGTGTGCATTTAAACTATTATGGAAGGACGACCAGCTTTTTATCTGAATCTTACATAATGTATCTTTAAAAAATTGTATGGAGGAGGGGGTGGAATGCGCGTTGCATCATAAGGTCTCTCATTGAGTCAACTGGTGTGGTTTCCATTCTCAGGTTGTACGTGACAAATTGTAGGGTCGCCTGTCCAACCTCGTGGGTTTTCTCTAAGCCCCCCCCCCCCACACTGTTAAAGAACCCTTACTGAAATAGAATTGCACGTGTTAGTCTCGGAATGACTTGGTTTGTTTAGAGTGGAGGTTAAACCCCGGTTGTACGTGACAAAGAGTAGGGTCGACTGTCCAACCTCGTGGGTTTTCTCTTGGTCCTCCGGTTTCCTCCCACTGCTAAAGAAACCTTATTGAAATAAAATTGCATTATGTGTTAGTCTCGAAGAAATGACCTAGTTTGTTTACAGTGGACGTTAAACCCCATACATATATTGAATCAAATTGTTGGTGTATGTAGTTCAAACTCTGAAAGCCAGGGCCTCAAATATTGAACTGAAATTGCTTATGAAAACCAGAGCTTCGATAATTGATCTTGGTATTTTGAATAATATTAGTAACATTTGTTTGAAATAAATCCGTGGACAAACCTGTAGTTTTCTATCTTCTTCCGTAATTAGGTTTATTGTAATAATTCTACAGTCATTTTACTGTTTAAAACATCAAAAAATCATCAACATGAACCATATCGACATCCAGAGTTGCATCAACAAAACCATGGCAACAATACTTTATTTTTGTGTTTGACAGGCTATACGGATAACAATACATAGAGTAATAAGTTATTTGTGATCTGTAGCTAGGCCGTGTTATAGAAATATGTTTTATGATTGTCATGTGAACTGTAGCGTAAATCAAACTGAATGTCATTACATGTATTAGAACGTTAAAGAAGACCCCATATATTCTACAATATAGTTTAATATACTTCCTTCTTTAAGATTATATTTAGATGAAATCACAGGCTTTCTCTATTATTAGTAAAGATTTGATCCCGCGTGGATGTGTCTAATTTAACGGCCATTATTTTGATGCATAGTTACATAGGTAAGTCGTACAATTATATTATAGCATTTCATAAAGGGGTATAAAGAAATTAACAAATGTCGAGAATATCGAAAATAAATCGACATATAAGTTAATATAACGATAAATCGAAATCATGACGAGCGTCAAGATTTAGCAAAACAATTATTCAGCCACCGATACCCGTAAAGCCTATTGACGTTTACCCCACCTTGGACTCTCTGCACGTATGGGCCAGAGTAATATATCGTGTTTGGCAGGGAGGAAGAAGATGTTAACTTGCTGTAATTCTTTACTATCTCATAAATAATCCCTATGACGAATCCAGCTACAGCACTTCCCATATGGGGCTCTCGGCACGTATGAACCAGAGTAATATCGTGTTTGACAGGGAGGTACGAGTTGTTAACTTGCTGTAATTGCTTACTATCTCATAAAATTAATATTAAAATACGAATTCCTATAGCGGATCCAGCTACTGCACTTCCCATATGACAATATTAATTAGTCTGTGTCTAGGAAATGAAATGGGGTTAGTTTCAAGTTTTTATTCATATAGCTGTAAGTCACGGTGGCTAAGTGGGTAAGACGCTGGCTCACTAGCCTGGAGGTCAGGTGTTCGATCCCTGCATTGGCCGAGAAAGTTCATCCAGATTTTCCGGCGTGGTTCTCCCTTGTCAGTCATGCAGAACGGAGGGCCTGAAAAGTCGTTCGGATGGGACGGAAAACCGAGATCCCGTGTACACATTGGCGTGCGCGTTAAAGATCCCTTGACAGTTGGAATTCGATATAAGAATAAGCCGTAGTGCCACTGTCTGGGCAAAATTTCCCTCAGAGCACACTGTATGGCGTATGCCCGTCTTTATTAGCGTTAAACCCCATTTCACTTTATAGACATTTAGCTTTTAAACACAGTACAGTTTAACGTTCTACTGTTCTGCTCTGATTGGGCTAATGAAGACGGATGTGTCGATGACACCTGTACATTTGCTCTTTTCGTTTCGTTGGTTTGTGGTGATGTAGTAGTGGATGAAATTGAATGTTAAATTCTGGTCCAGATATGCAATAAAAATCACCAATGACACACTTATTTTTGAAACACTTTTTCGGATGTGAGACATGACCCCTCACCCAAACCACCTTACATAATATCGACCACAGGAGAATGTTATAAGGGATTTTGTATTAATAACGTTATAGAACATGTGATTTTATCCAACTATGCGAGAGATTTATACTTCTTGGTTGATGCCCTGTTTACCTGGAGAGAGAGACAGCGAGGGAGAGAGAGAGAGTATGTCATTTCGGGACTAACATATGGTTCAATTTTATTTCATTAATTCGCTTTAGCAGTGGGAGGAAACCGGAGGACCCAGAGATAGTAGGTCATTTCGGGACTAACATATGGTTAAATTTCATTTCATTAATTCGCTTGCGCGTAGATGTCTTTGCCTTTAGCAGTGGGAGGAAACCGGAGGACCCGGAGAAAACCCACGAGGTTGGAAGGCCACCTTAGTCCTTTTTACGTTCAACCGAGCGAATCGAAACCACGCCAGTTGACTGAATGGCAGGCCTTATGAAGCAACGATTGTGGGTTTTACAGGCATTAAGACTAATTACGGTTACACTAATCACATACTTCTATTTTCATCTTCTTATAAATATATTAATTAAAATGCAATTTGAATTCAATGTTGTTCAGAAGTAGTATATCCATATTTAACGACCTCTGGTTGAATCTGTAATGTTCCACAAAGTACAGTATGTCATCAGCTTTAAATCACGCATGTAATGATCACCAATTGTTCCTGTACATGTGCATGGACAAATTGTTCATGGACTTTGCTGCCTTTTACGATGACCTGTGGATGATTTTTATTCATGAACATTGAGGACTTTTTCATTTCACAAATTTCGGTCTGGACATAGCTAACTCACTTTTGCTTTACATTTGAATCCTTAAACAAATTTTAAAAAATCTGATTTCATCTGCTCTTCTGAGTCAACTGGAGTGGTTTCGATTCCCCGGTTGTACGTGACAAGGAGTAGGGCCGCCTGTCCAACCTTGTGGGTTTTCTCCGGGTCCCTGAGATATTCATTTGACATAACGCTTTACATTTCAATCCCGAATACATTAAAGAAAAAAAAACGATACTGATTTTATCTGCGCCTTTTGTAACTTAATAACTAAAATGATGTATTCGTTTAATACAATGACGAAGAGATCCTGTTTAGTCAAAAAGGATATATAAAGACAGACAGGTAATACCTGTAAGGTGTTTTATTTATAATATTATTGGGGGTTGGAGGGCCGAATGGTTAGCACGTGCACGCCGTATCAGAAAGTCTGTCATTGAGTCAACTGGCGCGGTTTCGAATCGCCTGTCCAACCTCGTGGGTCTTCTCCGGGTCCTCCGGTTTCCTCCCACTGCTAAAGAACCCTACGCGCAAGCGAATTATTAAAATAAAATTAAAAACCATATGTTAGTCCCGAAATGACCTAGTTTGTGTCGAGTGGACGTTAATCCCCATGTTTGTCTGTCTGTCTCTGTCTCTGTCTCTCTCTCTTACATTATTACAGAAACAAGACACCATAACACTGTTTATGAATACACTTTCCCTTTATAAAATAAATATTGTTCGTTTATTGAGATCACTGGCGCGTGTAATAATGTACAAGGAAAACTGTGAAGGTGTGAAGTATGCAAGTCACATTCAACGTTATTATCCCGCGTCGAACGAACTTAGGGAGGGATATTTAAATGGTTCTAGTCCGTGCGTGCGTCCGTCCGCCCGTTCGTCACGATTTTGTTTCCAGTGCATATCTCATAAAATTTTGAAGATATCTTTTTTGAAACTTTGCACACACATCAACCTATTACAGTAGTTTTGCCTTTTACTATTTCTTAGATTTATATTTTTTGTGTTTCCAAGGAAACAAAATTTAATTTGACTTAGTTTTTGGTGTACAATTTTGTTTCCGGAGGAGATTTCATAAACCATTCAAGATATCTTCATGAAACTTTGTACAAACATTAACCTATTAAATTAGATGTGCCTTTACTAATTTGGAATTTCTCACATTTAATAATTTCGGTGTTTCCATGGAAACAAATTTGAGTTAATTTTTGGTGTGCAATTGTGGTTCCGGGGCATATCTCATAAACCATTCAAGATATCTTCATGAAATTTTGTACAAACATCAACCTGGGATAATATAAGTTGTGCCCTTTGCTACTTAGAAATTTCGCGGATTTAATTAGTTTTGTGTTTCCATGGAAACAAAAGCCTCAGTTGAATGATTCTTGAATATTTACTACACATTTGACTTAGTTTTTGGTATATAATTATTATTCTAGACCATGGAAACAAAAGCCTCAGTTGAATGATTCTTGAATATTTACTACACATTTGACTTAGTTTTTGGTATATAATTATTATTCTAGACCTTTTCTCAGAAACTGTTCAAGATACCCTTATAACACTTTTAAATTCATAAAACTATTATTTTATTTTCTGATGACCTTTCTTCCGTCCCGATTTCGTCTCCGGAGAATATGTCATTATCCGTTCAAAAAATCAACATCAACCTATTATAGTATTTTATTTTCTTGTATATAATCTTATTGTTTAACATACAGCAGTTGATTGAGGTAGACAAAGGTTTGCCGAGCTACTGTGATCAGAGTATGAATCTCCTGACTAGTCCCATTGATATTCCAAGAGGTTGTTTTTCCTTATGCCGTCTAAACCTTACAGGGAGTAGCGATCCTGCCTTGTCGAGCTACTGTGATCAACGTTTGAATCTTCTGACTAGTCCCATTGATATTCCAAACAAGTGCAAGCCATCTTGTTATTTTTTTTGGCTTAGTAAAGTTTAATTAAAATTATATACCAAATCGTGTGATTTGCTTACTTATTAAGTAGGTAACGTGTGTTTTATCGTTTTTATTCATTAATCTGAAGATAAATCTAGCTATGAATATTTTGTCATTGTCAAGTATTCATTTGAATGCATCTAGGACCTTTGTTATCAATCAAAAAGACGACGTAATATATTATATTACACAAGGATAAAGGTTTTTATCTGCTGTAAGCTTGGAGTTTTAATTGGATATTATATTTCATTGCTCGTCTAATTGAGTTATTGTGAGTTTAGTCAAAAGGTATTCACTATTATTAACGGATGGTGACATATTCTAGCATATATAGCAATGGCTGAAATGACTGAGTAGAAAACTAAGACGCAGGTGTTTGCGTATCAACTATTCACTTCTCTAAACAGGCTATATCTAAGTAACCAGATAGTGGGTGGACATTTCACAAACACAGCATGCAATTTAAATATACAATATGCAAGAGATAAATCTGCCTATTGCCGGTCTTTCTTAAGGTAACAGAATGGTGACGATGGCAGCATTTGGCCAGACTCGACTGGAAACATTTTACATCGATATTTGCGCCTAACAAATACTTCTTTTAACATGTCCAGAAATTTGTATTAAAAAAAGAATAGGATAAAAGCATAGATTTCTAGCAATTTGAAACTGTGATTTTCAGTATATGACAATACAAGACGACATATTTGTATAAAATCGATGCATGACAGATGTGGAAAGATTTAACGTTCCTGTCTTCTATCATTGTCCTATATTTATGTTGACTGAACACAAGGAATACCAATAATTCTTTAGATCGAGACACAGAGTGGTATTCAGCACTACAATCCAAAATATTTCCATATGCCTCAAATAAGTCTAATAAAAGGAGCAAAATCAAACTGGGTACCAAGTCAAACCTGGTAATTGCCATTACCATAAAAGTCAGAACCGATAAACTATTAATTAGACATGTATTAACAAAACACGACCATAATCGACTCTCGGTGGCATCGGATATTCGAGATTTTAACTAGATTAAAACGGTTCGCCATTTAAAAATGAAATTTAAAAATGGGAAATCGAGGCTAAGACCCGATTGTACCAGTGCCCTGGTTATTACTGTGCACACATCTGGTCAAA